TGCCACTTTTTCAAGCTCAGATGGCTTGGCCTGTAGTTTTATTTCGGCGAACTCCTCTTCATGTCTCAAAACCCTTGCCAGCAGCCCCCTCATCTGGGAAGCCTGCCTTGGAGGGGCCCTGCCTGTGAGTTCCCTCCCACTGGGGAGCGGGGTGTCCCAGTCCACTTCCAACTCCCACAGACTGGGGCCCCTTCAGGGTGAGGCCTGGAACCAGAGTCTTAAGCCCCCATTCTCCAAGGTCAGGCCCTGTCTCCTGCAAACATTCCCAACTATCCACCTTTTGGGCCAGCTCCAGTGGTGGAAACTTTCCGGCCTCCAGGCGCTTGTTTTGGAAAGTTCCTGGGGGAGCTGCCCCGGCCTGCCCGCTGGGTTCCCACGCTCCCTTATCAGCACACATGAGGGGGGTGCCCTGCTGTGCAGGCCTCATTCTTCCCTTGCCTCAGCCCTGCCCTTGTGCCTGTCCCCTCCCTTTCCCAGTGAACAGCCTCCCCCTCCGGCCCACCCCTGCCAAGCCCTCCTGCTGCAGGTGGGGAAACAGGCCAAACAGGCCCCATCCTGGTTGAACCCCATGGGACCGAGTGACATCGTCCCCCCTGAGATGGATGGGGGCGGGCACAGGGAGCCAGGAGACGGGAGTGCCCGGAAGGTGCTGCTGCCCATGAAGTGGAATAGGTGGCAGGAGAATCTGAGGAGATTCTGGCTTTGGAGTTCTGGTCCTCTGCCTCAGTTTCCCCTGCAGTGTTTCTGACCCAGAACCTCTACCCCCTCCGCCGGAGGCCCAGCTTCCCTGCACAGCTCCACCCCCTGACTTGTGGTTCAGCTCCTGCTTATCCTCATTGTCCTCTTGTAAAGGGGGAATAGGCGGCCATGTGCCCCTGAGGGCTGCGGAGCGAGTGAGGTGAACCAATACTCGCAGCGCTCGAGGACGCCCAGCTACTTCCGCCAGACGGTGAACCGATGGCTACGGTGGCTCCGGGTTGTCGGGCCTCGAACCCGGGTCTCCAGATGATGGGCCCCTCCTCCAAGGCGCGGGAGAGGCGGGGGCGGGGGCGGGGCGGGGGCGGGGCCGGAGCGCTTTTCTCCGGAGGTCGCGCGCCCGAGAGCCCGCGCTGTCCGCTGCCGCTGCCTGAGCCGACTCCGCGCCGGTGAGCGTGGTTTGGGGTGGGGGCGGCCTCCCTGCGGACCCAGGCCGGCTTGGCCCGGCCACTTACTGTCCCCGCTGACCCCTTGCTCACCCCTGGCCCCCAGCCCGCCGCGATGGAGGCCGCCGCCCAGTTCTTCGTCGAGAGCCCGGACGTGGTCTACGGCCCCGAGGCTATTGAGGCGCAATACGAGTACCGGACGACGCGCGTCAGCCGCGAGGGCGGCGTCCTCAAGGTGGGCCAGGGAGCCGGGGGAGGGGGCGTGCTGGAGAGTCGGGTGGCGGGAGGAGATTGTTCAATGTCTCCAACCCCGTCTCTGCCGCGAGGGGAGAAGGGGATGGGACCCGGGGTTCACTGCTTGGCTTGTCTCCAGGTGCACCCCACGACCACGCGCTTCACCTTCCGGACCGCCCGGCAGGTGCCCAGGCTCGGGGTCATGCTTGTCGGCTGGGGCGGGAACAACGGCTCCACGCTCACCGCCGCGGTGCTGGCCAACCGACTGCGTCTGTCCTGGCCCACGCGCAGCGGCCGCAAGGTGGGGGCGGGAGGGGCGCGGTGGGCAGGGTGCTCGGTGCGAGTCCTTGCGGGCGGGAGCAGGGAGCCTGCAAGCCGCAGGGGGCTGCAGGGGGCAGGGGGCGGGGTTCTGCAGGGCCGCCGGGGGGGACTGCAGGGGGCGGGGTTCTGTGGGGTAGGGGGCTGCGAGAGGCAAGGGACCTTTCCGGGGATGGGGGTTCTGTAGGGGGCGAGGGACCTTTCTGCGACTGGGGGCCTGTAGGGGGCCAGGGACCTTCCTGGGGCTGGGGGCCTGTAGGGGTGAGGGACCTGCAGGGGGCGAGGCTCTGCGGGGCGGGAGGGCTTGCAGGGGGCGGGGCCTGGCTGCGGGCGGACACCGGGGAGGGGTTTCGCGAGGTACTGGGGGCTCCTCGGGAGTCTTACAGGGGCGGAGCTTAAGATGTCGGAGGTCTCGGGGGAGGGGCTTGGGGGCAGCGGCTTCCGTCCTGGCTGAGAGCCCGGAACTGAAAATGCCCGAAAGTGGGGCGGGGCTTGTGGGTCTAGGCGGGGCCCAGGCCGGGTAGCAATGCGTTCACCACGCCCACTCGTCACCACGCCCACTCGTCACCTCGCCTTGTCTGCTGCCCCCCAGGAAGCCAACTACTACGGCTCGCTGACTCAGGTGGGCACCGTGAGCCTGGGCTTGGACGCCGAGGGCCAGGAGGTGTTCGTGCCCTTCAGTGCGCTGCTGCCCATGGTGGCGCCCAACGACCTGGTGTTTGATGGTGGGCGGAGCCCTGGGCTGGGGGAGGGGCGGGATGGGAGATGGGGGCTGGAGGGGCCGAGGATCTGGGCAGGGCCGAGTGTGAGGGTCCCCCCCCAGGCTGGGACATCTCGTCGCTGAACCTCGCGGAGGCCATGCGGCGCGCGAAGGTGCTGGATTGGGAGCTGCAGGAGCAACTGTGGCCGCACATGGAAGCCTTGCGGCCTCGGCCTTCCGTCTACATCCCTGAGTTCATCGCGGCCAACCAGAGCACGCGCGCGGACAACCTCATTCCCGGCTCGCGCGCGCAGCAGGTCCCGTCCCATTCTGCATTCCTTGCTCCCTGCCACCTGTTCTTCGCTACTTGGTTCCCCATTTTTGCCCAACCCCACGAGTCCAGGCCCTACTTCACAGCCTGGGAGCTGAGTGGCCCAGGCTCTCTGAGCCCGAGGGCACGTACAACCAACCTCAGCCACACCCTCTCCGTCCCCCCCCCACACCCTCTCCATCCCCCCCCACACCCTCTCCATCCCCCCCCACACCCTCTCCATCCCCCCCCACACCCTCTCCATCCCCCCCCACACCCTCTCCATCCTCCCCCACACCCTCTCCATCCCCCCCCACACCCTCTCCATCCCCCCCCACACCCTCTCCATCCTCCCTACAGCTGGAGCAGATCCGCAAGGACATCCGAGACTTCCGGTCTAGCGCGGGGCTAGACAAAGTCATCGTGCTGTGGACGGCCAACACAGAGCGCTTCTGTGAGGTGGTTCCAGGCCTCAACGACACGGCCGAGAACCTGCTGCGCACCATTGAGGTGGGCGCACGCCCGGGTGGAGCGGGTCAGGCAGGGCCAGTCTCAAACACAAGTTCCGTGTTGACTGCCCCCCTTGCCCACAGCTTGGCCGGGAGGTGTCTCCCTCCACGCTCTTTGCCGTCGCCAGCATTCTGGAGGGCTGTGCTTTCCTCAATGGGTCCCCAGCAGAACACCCTGGTGCCCGGAGCTCTTGAGCTCGCGTGTCAGCGCCGGGTTTTCGTGGGCGGAGATGACTTCAAGTCTGGCCAGACCAAAGTCAAGTCCGTGCTCGTGGACTTCCTCATCAGCTCTGGCCTCAAGGTGCGTGGGCCGAGGGGGCGGCTCCCGAGTGCAGGAAGGGGGACCTGGGCTGCGAGCACCTGGCTTGTGGGGCCGCAGGGCCTGCAGCTGCCAGGGCGTCACTTGTACTCACAGACCATGTCCATCGTGAGTTACAACCACCTGGGCAACAACGACGGGCAGAACCTGTCGGCGCCGTTGCAGTTCCGCTCTAAGGAGGTGTCCAAGAGCAACGTGGTGGACGACATGGTGCAGAGCAACCCAGTGCTCTACATGCCCGGCGAGGAGCCCGACCACTGCGTGCGTGGGGCGCGGGCATGGGCGTGGGGTTGCTCAGAGGCGGGTGGCAGGGACCGGGGCAAACTCCTGCTGCACCCCAGGTGGTCATCAAGTACGTGCCGTACGTCGGCGACAGCAAGCGCGCGCTGGATGAGTATACCTCGGAGCTAATGCTGGGCGGGACCAACACACTGGTGCTGCACAACACGTGCGAGGTGCGCCACATCCCGGGCTGCTGTGGGAGGCGGGGCTTGGCCACCCTCCTCCACCTCCTGACCCGCCCACCCCACAGGACTCCCTGCTGGCCGCACCCATCATGCTAGACCTGGCGCTGCTGACCGAGCTGTGCCAGCGCGTGAGCTTCTGCACGGACGCCGACCCCGAGCCACAGACCTTCCACCCCGTGCTGTCCCTGCTCAGCTTCCTCTTCAAGGCGCCGCTGGTGCCGCCAGGCAGCCCGGTGATCAATGCGCTTTTCCGCCAGCGAAGCTGCATCGAGAACATCCTCAGGTGCGCCCCAGCCTCCAGGTTCCCGCCCGGGGTCCAGATACCCTTTGGCTGAGCTATGCATAGGGCCTGGAGGGCTGTAGGCGGCCGGGACAGCCCCCCACCTTCCCCCGATTGGGTGTCTGGCTCTGCTGAGCTGTGTGGCCTCTCCAGGGCCTGCGTGGGCCTCCCGCCCCAGAATCACATGCTCCTGGAGCATAAGATGGAGCGCCCAGGACCCAGCCTCAAGCAAGTCGGACCCCTGGCTGCCGCCCGCCCTGTGTCGAACAAGAAAGGACCGGTACCCGCTTCCACCAACGGCTGCACCGGTGATGCCAATGGGCACCCAGTGGAGGAACCCCAGATGCCCACCACCTGAGGCCCCTGTCACACAGTTGTTTCCCAGCCCTTCCTCCCCGCTGCCCCCCAGGACCCCACCTTTCCAGGCCGCCCCAAAGACAATAAAGCCGCTGCCACTCTCAGCTGTCCTTTCACCTGGGGTTCTTGGGGCCTGGGACCTGGCTCTGCCTTCCTCTGCTTCCCCAGCTCTGAGCGCCCAGCTTCCCGTCCCAATCCTTCTGCCCATGGTTGCCACCCCATCTCCCAGGGAGAGCCCAGACCTCGGAGCCTCAGTCTACCCCCGTTTCTGGAATGTGGGGCTAGATGGGGGGTGGGGTGGGAAACAAGACCACAGGGTGGACAGTGTGGTGGCCGAAGACCAAAGAGGGAATCTGAGACACGCTACCAAAAACCAAAACCAGCTTCCATTTATTGTTGGAGCCCACCCCCTGACGTCCTGGAGAGAGGGGACTCCCAAAGAGCCCTTCTTTCTGGAACAAAATACAAATGGCAGGAAGGGTCCATACAGAAAAGAACGTCTCTGAGGTCCTTGCGTTTTTAATAAAATGATAAAAGTCTTTCATGTGGGGCCTCCCAGCTGGGTAAGCCTTGATTGGCCAGGAGTCCAGGTGCCCGAGGTGTGACCTCAGCCCCTCGCCCTGAGGAGGGGCGCTGGGCAGAAGCCTAGGCCTGCAGAGGCCCGGGGCTGCCGCCCCATCACACGCTCATGGTCATCCCTGGCGAGTACTGTGGAGAGAGGAGGGGGCAGCGCGCAGAGGCCGGGCTTAGCTCCGGAAGAGGCTGGGACCCGCCCCCAGGGGACAATGGGGGACAGGGTAGGGCTGGGTCCTGGGCAGACAGAGGGCGGGGACAGGAGGGAATGGGGGAGGGGCGATGCGTGGGGAGGCTGCCCTGGGGCGCGGGTCCCGGGGTGGGAACGGAGGGGATCTGGACGGTGAAACAGGAGTGGGAGGTGGGGGGCGAGGGGGAATGGAGAGAGGTTGGGAGGAGGGGAAGGATGCCGCGGCCGCCCCCCCACCTGGCCCGCCGCGGTCACGGTCTTGCTCTGGCCCCCCGGCCGCCCCGCCGGGGCCTGCCCGCCAGGCCCCTCCGGCCCGACGCCGCCGCGGGGGGAGAGTCGACGCAGTCGCTTACGCTTTCGCTCGGGAACGGGTGCAGGAAGGTCCCGGCGGCCGCCATCTCGCCGTCGTCCCGCGGGGTGCCCGGGGCGTTGCTCAGGCCGGCCACGGCGCCGGGGGAGCTCTGGGGGCGGCCGCCGTCAGCGCGGAGCTCCCTGCCCCGCCCCCCACCCCTGCGGGGGGGCCCCCCCCCACCGCGACCCACCCCTAGCAGGAGTGCGGCCCCCCTTACCTTCGGCAACCCGTCCATATCGCCCGAGCCTGCGAACCGACACGGACACCGGCTCAGACATGCCGGTGCCAGGCCCCCCGGCATTCTTGGGTTTGACAGACCCTCGGGAGCTTCCCCCGCCGCGGCACCCCGCAAGAAACCCCAGACTGAGGCCAGGTGGAGGGTTGGGTCAGTGCATTCCCTGCTTTGGTCGCCGGATCCCCCCAGCTTGGGGCAGCCCCCGTCACTGAGCGGCTCCCCTGGGGGGGGTCAGGGGGCCACCCGAAGCCTCCACCCGACAGGCAGGCTGGCGGTGGGGGGAGGCAGCCAGGGGCACATGGGCCCGGGCCGGAAGCAGCCTGGGCGGGAGCAGGGACTTCCACTCACCCAGGGATCCGTTCACGTGGTGTGGCTCCATCGCGCTCATGGCGGCCATGGGGCCCTCCGGGCCGGGGCCGATGGGGAACTGCAGGCATGGGGACAGCGTGGGACTCGGGCCACCCATCCCCCGAGTGGGGTCACTGCCTCCAGAAGCATCCCCAAAAGCCCCCACTCACATTAGCCCTGCCGGCGCCCTGCCCAATGGGGTTCATGATGGTGTACATGTTCTCACTGGAGTTGGTGGAATCTGGGGGAGACCAGGGGACAGGAAGGGTGCCGAGTGCGATGGGGTTTCCCCCAGGCACACCCACCCTAGCACACCCCACCCCTGTCTAGGCTGTACCTCCAGGGCTAGGCATGATGGGCGTTCCAGGGGGCCCACCTCCTCCTGGGGGTCCCTGCACACAGAGGGAGACAGGGACTGTGAGAGATGGCCCCTCATCTGCCATCCCGCAGCCCCTGCCCAGGGCGACACAGCTTTGCTCAGACTCACCGTGTAGCTGCCGGGGGATGAGGAGGAGTAGGGGATCTGGGGACAGGGGCAGCTGTGAGCAGTCGGCCAGGCAGCTCACCCAGTGCCCCTCCCACCCCACCCCATGCCTGCCCACCTAGCCTTAGACTCACCGAGTTTCCACTGGGGCTGGCCCATGGGCCTCGAACTCCTGGGCCCCTGGAAGAGACCGTGGGTGACAAATCCTGGGGCTAGTCCACGTGAATGACCGCCACCCCCACAGCCCCCACACCCTGCTCCACTGTGTCCCCAGACAGGCCGCAGAGCAGCAGACGTTGCTGAAGTGGCCAGCATGAGCTTTCAGGTTCTGATCCCAGCCCATCACTGGCCCTGCGGAACTCTTGCTACCTCAGTCCTGTTCCCCACTCAACAGTGGCCATGAAATAAACAACATCCAAGGCTGTCCTGAGGGTTCAGGGCCCGTCCCAGCTGACCCAGCCATGAGGCTGGTGGTGGCCTGCGAGCTGCACACTCCTGGGGTCCCCGGGGGCCTTACATGTTCATGGCAGGCAGGCCTGGGCCGGCAAGGGAGTTGGGTGGGGGCCGCATGCCACCTCCGTAGCTCTGGGGAGGCAAAGGGGCCGTGAGAGGCAGACCGGGGACAGTCCGAGGGTCCCACCCACCAGGGCTCCCTCTTACCTGGGGCCCGACGCTGGCCATGCCCCGAGGAGGCGTCACCCTCTGCATTGGGCCGCCCATGCTCGGATGCCCTGGGGTGGGGCAGAGGGAAGCGGCTTGCACCCGGACCACTCCCCAGTGTGCACAGCTGGGAGGCAGCAAGGTTGGAGCACCTAGAGCTGGAATTCTGACTAATGGGCAGACAGGGGGCAGAGCTTCCCTACTCACCCTGGGCTCGTGGGGAGGGCTCCATGGTGCCAGGGAGGAGGGGCTGGGAGCCAGGGAGGCCCGCGGGAGGCTGCGGAGGGGGTGCGGCAGCACTGAGTGTGGGGTGCTCCCTCCCCGGCCCAGCTCCTGCCCCCCACCATCCCTTTCTCACCTGACTCGGCATCCGCAGGGTGGGCCGGGGGCCCCCTGGGAACCGCGGTGACATGAAGGGCTGGAAGAGGTGGGTGGGGATCAGCAGCTCCCCCAACCCTCTACCCCCAAAGCTACCCTATTTCTGCTATACCGGGGCCCCCCGCCGGGGGAGACCCCTCCTCCAGAACCAGCCGGCAAAGCCCAACCAGCTGGCGCCGGCCAGGGCACCACGCTGTGGGGCGGGAGGGGTGGCGCTGGGGGAGGGGGATGTGTGTGTATGCGGGGCAGGCGCCATGGCTCCTTACCTGACTGCCAGGCCCCATCATGGGGGCATTGGGGTTGTGTCGGGGCGGCTGGGAGCCGGGGAGGGGGCTAGGACAGAACTGGGTGGGTTGCGGGGAGCAAGGCCCTCGTGGGCCTGGCAGAGGAGGGGAGGGCTCCATGGAGGCGGAGAGGTGGGCCAGCCTACAGGGCAGGGACCCTGTGGGAAGGCCTGAGGGCAAGACTCAGGCACCAGCGGTCACCAGGACCACTGTGGCCACGGAGTCCCCAAGCACCGTGTGCCCACGCATGTACAGGCCATGCGCACAGATGCTCAGCCTCCACTATACTTGGGCCCTCCCTCACTGGCCCCAGAAAGGCCCAGCCAGGCACACCTGCCGCACAGAGGAACCTCCCACCCAACTCCAGCCTGCCGGCCTCATGAAGTTTGCCCACATGGGACCCCCACCCAGAGTTGGAGGCCAGGAGACACCAGCCCTGGCCATACCTGGAAGAAGCCTGCCGCCATGGGGCCTGCAGCCATTGCGTCACCTGGGGCCATGCTCCCCATCACAGGGCTGGGAGCTGCAGCGCTCTGCAGGGGTGCGGGAAACCAAGAGGGCCAGGTCAGGACACTTGGACACTTGCTATTAGGCCTGGGGTGTGCCCCCTCTTCTCTGCAGGTGGCTGGCCCCATGAGACAGGGAGCTGGCCTCAGTGCGCACTGGGGTTGTCGGCCTGAGGATCTGAAGACCCTGGACCCAGGGCAGCTCTCACCTCGCACAGGCCTGCCCCTGACTCCAGACCCATCCCAACTGGCCCTGTGTCGTCCTGGCCGGCAGGGCAGGGCAGCTCAGCTGGCTCCCAGCTCTACCCGGGACACCCCAAATACACACACAGATCTACCGCAGTTTCAAGAGGAGTGTTCCTGAAGGCTCTTCCTTAGAGCAGCTGCGACCCGCCCCGCCCTGGAGCGGGGAGAAGAGCAGGATTCTGGGGTGGGGTCCCCAACCCCGTCTCTCCACAGATGGAGAAGGGCAGAAGACAGGGTGCTAGAGCTGGGGGCCTCCTATCTGTCAGAGATGCTGGTGCAGCCCAGACCTGGCCTAGGACAGGCTGACAGGCCACTCCGGCTGGCTCCCAGTCCTAGACCTGTGTGCTCTGGGGGAGACGAGGTGGGGAGGGAGGCTCAGTCTATGAGGGCAGAGGGACATGTGGGGACAGGGAGGGAGGACTTCTCTCATGGCCCGGGTCTGTACGGTCCAGGCCAGGCCCCGAATCCCAAGAGGAAGGGGATGGGCTCTCCGAGGTTGGCCCAAGCCAGTGCACAGGCACACTCTGGTGTTTGTGGCATGAACTGCAGCCACGTGGGCTCAGAGAGGCGGGCACTCTGCCTGCAGTCTCAGCATTTCCTGCCCTCAGGTACTGCTGCAAGGGGCCTCCTGGCTGGAACAGGGCCCCTGGAGAAATCCTCCCTCCCCGTGTGGGGCAGCGGGCCAGCCCCTTCTTGCCCCTTCTCTTGAGATCAGCTTCGAGCCTCCGGCCAGGGCCCTAAAGTGGGGAAGGGGGTGGAGGCCGGAGCTCCCAAGCACCGACAGGGAGCACTCCTAAGGCCCAGAACAAATCCTTCCAAAGCCGCCGTGCCCGCTCCTGTGCCACTTTCTCAGTTCGAAACTGCCAGGTCCCCTCTGGGCTCCGGCCCCCACCCCGCCGCCTCCCGCCAACACAATGGCCTGGAGCAGCTGCGCTCCCAGGTGGCCCCTCTGAGCTCTGCGTCTGTCCACCCCGCAGGGAGGGCAGCCGGCTTTCGGGCCACAGCAGACGCCTGGGAGTTTCCTGGTCGAGGAGGCTCCACTGCAGCCTCCCTGCCCCCTGCGGCCCGCGGCTTCCCAACTCTAGGCCCCAAGGAGTTAATCCCGGGCAGTGGGCCCTCCCCGGCTGTTGGCCCTGGCCGGACCCCCTACGTCAATCATCCCTGAAGAGGAGATGGCCCGGCCCGCGTTGCCATGGCGATGGGCTGGGCGCTCCAGTGTTTCCTGGAGACGCCAAGGTCGGCCTGGAGCCGGGGAGAGGCAGACAGAGCCCCACCTCGGAAGGTGAGAGGAAGGGGCCGCCTCCGTGCGGGGTCAGCAGACCAGGCGCCCCCAGTTAGAGTGAGAACAATAGAGGGGCAGCCCGGCAGGATGGGTGCCCACGGGGATTTGGTCACCCCAGGGCTTGGGCGGCCTCCGCCCCGGGCCCTGCGGTCTCTGCTCCGCGCCGGCGCTGCCATGGTAACCGCCGCGCCCGGGAAGCGCGTTCACGCTGACTTGCCAGCTCCGCCCTCCTGGCCCAGCGGGGGTGCCCAGAGAGGCTGCTAAACCCAGGCGGCAGGCGTAGGGGGGGGAGTCGCCCAAGCCCACAGCTCCAGACACCCCTGGGGCCCCAGATCCAGTGGGACTGGGACAAGGGGACCACACACGAGCAGTGGGGGCACCACGGGGGTGGACAGCAGTGACACCACGAGGGCTTCAGCATGCCCGGCTCCCATATCGCGTGCAGGAGGCATCTTCGGAAACACAGGCGCCCGCCCCTCCTGCCCCTCGGGCCGCCTCGGCCTTGCTGAGGCCTGTGCTCCCTCGCACAGTGGGCAGGGGGGTGGGCAGGACTGGCACCCCCCAGACACCCGCTGGCAGAGCCGGCAGCTCCCCCTCAGACCCAACAGAGGGGGCCAGGTGGCCCAGCACAGAGGATGAAGGGAAGGGCTGCCATCTGCTGCCCCGTGACAACAGGAGGCCGCCATCCCCTCGGTTAGCCCGGCAGCCTCCACTCCATACTGGCCTCTGATCGTTTCCAACCCGGAGGGAAAATGACCGCAGAAAGGTAGAGCGGGCAGCTCCAGGCACCCGGCAAGGTCAAGAAGTGTCCCAGTGCCTGGCCCATCAGGCACCCCCACCTGGCTCCTAACTCAGTGGAGCAGCGGCGACCCCCCAGCGCACACGTGGCCTAGGAGGGTGAAGGCAGTGAGCTTTTCCCATCTCCACACACGCTCACATGAGGGCAGGGAGATGGCACCCTCCAGTGCCCTGAGGAGGGTGGGAGGGCTGAGGGGACCGCAGTGCAGTGGAAAAAGCTTTCCCTTACTCTGAATGACCCTGGACCAAGAGGAGGGTGGAGGGACCCCAGAAGTGGCCAAGAGCTGAGTGACAGCTGCAGCCCTGCCTGTCAACCCCAGACTGCCCCCGCCCCCAGCCCTCCTCTGGCTGTGCAGCCCCCCACCCTGCCTCTCGCCCTGGAGCCGAGCCCCTGGGGTGGGGACTCACATAGTCCTGGAAGGCCTTGGCCTCGCCTGAGTGCTCGCAGGCCTCTCTCCGGTCGGGCGCTGCGCAGTACAGGTCCCAGAAGACGCTGTGGGCGGCAGGGGAGGACGTTCACTCCACACCCCCCCGCCCCCAGCCCCCTTCCACGGCCCACCCACAGCAGCCCTGCACGCACCACCACCAGGAGTGCAGGAACCCGGGAGGCTCCCCCAGCGTGATGTTCTTCTCCCATCGGATCTGCAGGGAGAGGAAGGAGGTGAGGGGCTGGCCCCATCTGACCCTGCCCCACCACGCAGCAGGGTGCCCAGAGAACATCTGGGCAGGGAGGGAGTGGGGAGGGAAGGGTAACTGGGTGGGTGGAGGGCCCCAGGATGTGCAGCAGGTCCCCGCTGGGCATGCGGACCAGAAGCCTGGATGCCAGCCCAGGGCCGGACCCCGCCCAGCCCTCAGTTCCCAGAGCCTTCAGAGGGGCAATGAGGGCCCATCCCCAGGGTCCCCAGTGGAAATGGAGGAGGACCGCGGTGTGTGGGTGGGAAGGCAGGGCCAGGCTGGAGGCAGCAGCTTACCTCAGACAGGAAGGTCTGGGCTGACTTCTGGGCACCGATGTGCAGCAGGTACTCATAGACGTACAGCGCCAACCTGCCGGGACGAGGTGGCCCGGGGGGCTCAGGCTCTCCAAAGCAAGGCCCCGCCCTAAAGCCCTTCCACCTCTCGGGAGGGCGGGTGGAAAGCACTCTCCCCACCAGCTGCTCAGCAGACAACTCGTACTCATCCATCAACATCCTTCGGGCTCCTCCCAGGCATCCCTGACCCCCCAACTCCAGGCCGAATTCAGTTCCCTTCAGTGCGCCCTCGGGGACCAAATCCTGGCCCTGTCCTGCCAACGCCATGCCTCCAGAGGCCTCAGCGCCTGGGAGGTCTCCGTAGAGGAGGGTCACTGCTGTGTGCAGGGTGGGGACGAATAGTGGGCACTCTAGGCCGTGTCCTGTGCTGAGGGCCACCCCACTCATCCCCAGCCTCGCTGGCCCAGGAGGGAAGGAAGGGCCCCCCTCCACAGGCCCCTCCCATCCCTGGACCCCATCTCTTCCTTGGGGTGGCTGCCCATCCACTGTGGTGGCCTCAATTCTTCCAGCACTGTCCCCAACCAAGGCAGTGCTGATTCCGGGGCGGTGTCCAGGGAATGGAGGTGGGGGTCAGGGGAGGCAGGCCCACAGTGCCACATCTGCCGCCCTGCCCAAATGTACACAGGGCTCTGTGTGAGTCCCCAGCTGCCAGGGACCCCTGGTCTCACCCCCTCAGCCACTGCCCACCCCAAGAGCTCGGACCTGGGGCACCCCTGCCCAGCCAGGGGGGCTCCAGCACAGCCCTCTGCAGGTCACAGGGGAAGGCTGGACCGTCTGCCTGGCTCCAGTCCAGCGGCCACACCAGAAAGCAGAGGACAACCCCCTATCCAAAGCATTGCCCGGTCCTGTGGCACCAGCCCTTCTGGACCTCCCTGGATCTGAGGGGCCCCCACCAGAGCCCCTGCGAGCCCTTGTACTGCACAGCCAGGGGCCCGTGAGGGCCTGCTCGGGGCTTGGGGCAGTCGTGGATTCAAGACAGGGTTCCAGAGGGCAGGCCTGAGGCTGAGCCCTAGAGGCGAGAGGCAGGCAGGCCTGGGGGCCCTTCCAGCCGCCTCCAGCTCAGCTGTGCCGCCCTCCCTGGCTGCCGGCCCCATCCTAAAATAACCTTCCTTTGACTCACGCTCTGCTCCCTCCCAGCCAGGCTGCTCCAATCCCAGCACCCACCACCCATCAGCCCCCCCCCCCCCCCCAGTCCCTTTCAGACTTCCAGCCCTCCTATTCCTGCCCCAGCCCCTAGGGGACGGGGTGGGGGGACTTCCCGCCCTCATGGGCAGTGCCCTTGCCCCAGATCTCAGCCTGCCTCCCTCCTTCATTCATTAACTTCATTCATTCCTCCAGCATCAGGAGCGCATTTGTGCAGTGCACACACCCGGCGCCCATCCTGGAGGCCACACTCTTGAGGGGAAAGACAGAGACAGGCAACACGAGTCGAGAGGTGAGCTGTGTGGCCCCTTGGAAGGTGCTGAGGCTACAGACAGGCGAGGGGGCGTAGCAGGCGGCCCAGGGCAGGGCACGCCAGGCTCATCCGGCACCACGTGAGGCAGGGAGGGGGCAGGACACACAGTGCCCAGTGGTCACCTGGCATCATCACACCACTCGGAGAGAGCCCCCGGCCCACACCCTGCTAGATCCTGACCCACAGCCCTCCAGTCTCCCACCCCCGCGCCTTCCTCCACTGCCCGGTCCCACAGCCTGCAGGGCCGCCTGTCCAGCCCACTTCTATGGTACCTCGGCCCATCTAGGGGCTTCTGAGTTGTCCCCTGTGCCAGCGGCTGACAGGCCTGCGTCCATCCGTGAAGGGAAGCACACAAGGCCGGGGGGTTGGTGGAGACCGATCAGCCTGGGGAGCCTAGTGCCAACCCAACCATCAGGTGCGGAAGAGGGGCTGAGTGGGGCCAGCCATTTCCCACCCTGGCCACTTGGGGGTCAGAGCAGGGGGCACAAAAGGCCAGAGTGGGGTACGACGGAGTTTCGGGAATGCTGCTGAGCCACCCCAGGAGGGTGAGGGCAGCGGAAGTCCTGCTAACGCTGTGTTTTGGGCACCCACGCCCAGGGGCCGGCTGCCCAGGAGGCCTAGGGGGGGCTCCTGAAGGAGGCGGTGGCCAACAGCTATACCTGCCTTCCTTTGTCACCCCTTCCCCGACTGTCCCCATCAGCACCTAACCCAGGAGGCAGGCCCCAGAGCCCACCCTGGCCTCCCACCCCCTCCTGCTGTCCTCCTGCCTCCAGCCCCGCCGGCTCCCCGCTCTGTCCTCTCCTTGGGTGGTCGCCCAGCCTGTTTGGATGATGCCTTCAGGTAGGGGCTGCCCAGAGGGTGCTGTGGCCTGACCCTCCCCAAACTAGGGATCCACTGTCCACTTGGCAGCTACAGACCCAGCCTCGACACCGGAGCCCCCACCCCTTCCCCATCCTCCCCTTTCCCTGCCCAGAGGCCGTCAGGGAGACTGGTACACGTACACATCTTTTTTTTTTTTTTTTTTTTTTCCCGAGACGGAGTTTCGCTCTTGTTACCCAGGCTGGAGTGCAATGGCGCGATCTCGGCTCACCGCAACCTCCGCCTCCTGGGTTCAGGCAATTCTCCTGCCTCAGCCTCCTGAGTAGCTGGGATTACAGGCACGCGCCACCATGCCCAGCTAATTTTTGTATTTTTTTTTTTTTTTTGAGACGGAGTTTCGCTCTTGTTACCCAGGCTGGAGTGCAATGGCGCGATCTCGGCTCACCGCAACCTCCGCCTCCTGGGTTCAAGCAATTCTCCTGCCTCAGCCTCCTGAGTAGCTGGGATTACAGGCACGGGCCACCATGCCCAGCTAATTTTTTGTATTTTTAGTAGAGACGGGGTTTCACCATGTTGACCAGGTTGGTCTCGATCTCTTGACCTCGTGATCCACCCGCCTCAGCCTCCCAAAGTGCTGGGATTACAGGCTTGAGCCACTGCGCCCGGCACATACACATCTTGTCCAAGGAGCCTCTGGTGGCCGCGCACAGGTGTGCGCCTGCATGACATCCACCCAGCTGTCCCCAAACATCACTGCATTTACCGAATTAATGAGAAGAAAACACGGAAGGAAGTCTCTCTCCTGATTCGGGCCCCTCTCCCCACCTCCACTGCACACCTGGGCCAGGCCACCCACCGTCTCTCACCTGGATTATGAGAGTCCCCTCCAGGCGCTGCTCCCCTGACACCCCCATGCTCCTTGTTCAAGCCTTCCCGTGACCCCTCGCACCCCCACAATGGCTGCCCGGCCGCCCCAGGGCCTCTGTGCACTGTTTCCCCGGCCTGGGGCACTTCCGCCCAGAGACTGCAATGTCACCTACCAGGGGATTCCCTGTCACTTGGAAGCCCCCGCCTGCTCGCCTGCTCGTCTCTCCCCATCTGATAGTCTCCGCCTGCGGCCCCCGCTGGAATGTCGCTGGAGGTGGGGCAGGGACTTGGAGTCTGCTCCCTGCAACGCCCGGAGCTGGGCATCCAGGGCCCCGTCACCACAGTGAATGAACAAACCACCCGGGACCCCTCCTGGGATGTCAGGAGGACCAGCCGAGCCACGGGTGAGCACCGAGGCAGGCCGGCAGCTACTGTGTCCACACCGAGGATTTGGGAATTGATCCTGGGAGTGAAGGGAGGCCAGAGTTTTCGGTTTTGCCCATTTCCCTTCCATGGCGGTACTTTTATTATTTTATTTTTTTTGAGATGGGGTCTCACTCTGTCACCCAAGCTGGAGTGCAGGGGCGAGATCTTGGCTCACTGCAACTTCTGAGTTCAAGTGATTCTCCTGCCTCAGCCTCCCAAATAGCTGGGATTACAGGTGTCCACCACCCCCAGCTAATTTTTGCAGTTTTTAGTAGAGATGGCATTTCAACATACTGGCCAGGATAGTTTCGGACTCCTGACCTTGTGATCCACCCGCCTCAGCCTCCCAAAGTGCTGGGATCACAGGCGTGAGCCTCCTCACCCGTCCGGTCCTTTTATTTTAAACAGGATTCAGTCTCAGGGAAGAACTGCGGGTTGTGATTGTTTTGGGTAAAATGTTCGGAAGCCTGGCTGTTCAGTCAGGGAATCTGGGGATCTAAAAGGTCCTCCCTCCCAGAGGACTGCTTCGGGGGGCCAGGTCTGGGGGCGCCACTGGTTGGGGCCCTGAGCTCAGTTATGGGAAAGAGCTCTGGATACAAATCACCCGTGCCCCCTGCCTCCCACCAGCCACCTGCTCCGGGGCGGCACCACCTCTCAGGGCCTGCCCACGAGGGTTCCCTGTGCCACACGGGCAGGTGGCCAGAAAGAAACATGGGGAGGCACCGGCAGAGCAGCCTCCCTGCCAAGGACCCCGAGACCTGGAGGACAGGGGGCGCCTGGACCTGAGCGAGCATGGAGCTGCAGGGAAGCAGAGACAGGACGGGGTGCTAGCACCTGGTGGCCTGAAATGTACCACGGCCACCGCCATACTGACGTGCGTTACCGTAATTACCGAGAACAGCCGCACTGGTGCTCCCGGCCCAGCGCCCTCCTGGACACAGACGCTGCTGGGGCGGGAGACTGCCTGCCACTCATGGCTTCGTGTCACTGTGTCATGTCACCAGGTCTCACTGCTGCCCCCAAAGGGACTCTCCAACCCTCGCTGTCCTCCCTCCCCTCCGCCAACCCTAAAGGCCAGGCCTTCGGCAGCTTCTCGGCAGGGTGGTGCCTCTCTTTACCGCCCTCCACACTTGCCCCTCACAGCCGTTTCCAGCCAGGGGCCAAAAAGACCATGTCCAGTTGCGAATCCCATCCCTGGCTTACCTGCCAGGCTGATGAACAAGCCACTGCATCCACGTGCTGGCTCAAAATCAAGCCGGGAGAAACCCACGAAGCTGCCAGGAGACGCCAACCATGGCCGTCATTCATAGACCCCTTCTCAACCTGCTTGGCTGCACTGGAGTGCTGGGGGTATACACAGCCCCGTCTTCTTGCAAGTGGTCCACTCAGACCCCAGCCTCCCTCGGCCCACTCTGCCGCCCGCCCACTCCATAGTCACCACCATCTGCTGCAAGCCCCCGAGGGTGGGCACCCACCAGGTGCTCGGTCGCTTTCTGGAGTGAGCTGGCCAAGACCTAGCGTGAGACAGGGAGGCCCGTAGGCTCCAAGGGAAGCCAGAAGGGGCTGAGGACTGGGGCCAGAGAGAGATGGAAGAGAAGGCAAGACCTCTTTTTTTTTTTTTGAGACTGGAGTCTCGCTGTCGCCCAGGCTGGAGTACAGTGGTGTGATCTCAGCTCACTGCAACCTCTGCCTACTGGGTTCAAGCAATTCTCCTGCCTCAGCCTCCTGAGTAGCTGGGATTATAGGCGCTGCACCACCACACCCAGCTAATTTTGTATTTTTGGTAGAAACAGGGTTTCACCATGTTGGCCAGGCTGGTCTCGAACTCCTGACCTCTGGTGATCTGCCTGACTCGGCCTCCCAAAGTGCTAGGATGACAGGCGGAAGCCCCCGAGCCCAGCCTCAGGGCCTCACTTTTAGGAGGCAGGAGGCTTAGCGCAGGAAGGGGAGCACAGGGCTGGGGAGCTGAGGTCTGGAGCAGTGTAACCCCCCCATTTCACAGAGGAGGAAAGTGAGGCCCGGAGGCAGGAAGTGGCTTGCCCGAGGCGGATCACTTCCTGAGAGCTGAGGGGCTGCCCTGGCAGGTGCTCTGCCTGTGGGCTCCCACCCAGGTCCTGGTGAAGATCCTGAAAGACGGGTCGTCCACATTTCAAATGAGGAAACAGGCCTGGGGCTGCCTCTGAGAGCTCATCTGTGCAGAGAAGCTGAGTTCTTGCCAGGTGGCTTCCTCTCCAGGGCCATGGTGTCCCCTTCTGTGAAATGGGCGGGGGGTGGAGGGGGATGAGGCCATCTGGTGTTTTCCAAGCTTTCTTTCACAGTGGAACCCTACCTCCAAACCAGCACCTACATGGGACCCTCTCCGTGAAACAGAAGCACGCCGGCCGCTCTGCCTAAAGATGGTTCCCGCAGCCTCCCACCAGCAGCCGAGGCACTGCCGAGAGCCCTGAGTCCCGAGGCCAGGATCCCCAAAACACCTCTGCTGGGCAGGTTGGGGGGGGTGGACGGACAGCGGGGGAAGGTGGCCGGGAATTCGACTAATCCCCTCACCCTACCACCCCCGGCTCAAACCTACGAATCACTTCCTTCTTACCTTGCTCCAGGCTGTCATCAGCTGTGTTTTGGGTTTTTTTGTTTTTGTTTTTTTTTTTTGAGATGACGTTTCACCCTGTCACCCAGGCTGGAGTGTAGTGGCATGGCGTGATCTCAGTTCCCTGCAACCTCCACCTCTCGGGTTCAAGTGATCCTCTCACCTCAGCCTCCTGAGTAGCTGGGATTACAGGCACCTGCCACCAGGCCCAGCTAATTTTCGTATTTTTAGTAGACACAGAGTTTCACCATGTTGGCCAGGCTGCTCTCGAACTCCTGACCTCAAGTGATCCACCCACCTCGGCCTCCCAAAGTGTTGGAATGATTATAGGCAGGAGCCACCGCGCCCGGCCTCCCTAGCTGTCTTTCACGCAACTGTGTCCCCATCCCCAGGGACTCCCAGCCTCTGTTTCTGATCCCTACAAACCTCACTCCACCTGGGAGCCAGAGCACACTTCCGCCCACCCCGAACTCTAGCAGGTTGCCCCTTCCTCCAACCGGGCCCAGCCCCAGCTCCTTTTCCTGGTCCCACCTCAGGGCCTTTGCACTCGCTGACATCCCCTCCCCCTCCACTATCACCCGCTTCGATTTCTCCAGGTAACTGGATTCCTGCCTCCCTGCTGGGGAGGGGGCTTCTTCAGGGCCACAGAGCCTGCCTTCCTGACCAGACTGTGCTTTCCCAACTGCCACACCCTGGGACACCCAGGGCAGAAATGCTTAACGGGTGAAGGATCTTGATTCCCATGGGTGAGTGGTCCCCTCCAAAGCCAGCAGCTGGCTGGAGACCTGGGGTCTGGGGGTGACCATGCCAGACACCTCCTGCTTCCAACCTGAGCAGGAGCCAAATGCCAGTTTCAAAAAGTCTTTGGGCTTAAGGGTGCCTGGAAATGCAGCTCAACTTCCTAACTGCACACAGGCAAGGGAGGCCTCTTGGGCAGAGGGGACATTCATTTTGCGGAGGGGTGGGGCATCTCAAGTCAGCCCAGGCAGAAGAGGCAGGACCGGGGACACTCAGCCAAATCCAGGGCTCCTCTCCACCACGCAGACATCCTGGCCTGGCCCTCAAGGCGGGTCCTTGTGGGACCCCTCCCTGCTGACCCAGCCTCCTCTCTGCTTGGGTGGCCAGTTCCACACCCGGGGCTACTCCAGGCGGCTCAACTTCAAGGATTCTGCAAGTCCCCATCAGCTATGACAAGACTCCCTTCCTCCTGGGCACAGCATTGCAAACTGCCCCGTACCCTCCCTGCGGGACCGTCACAGCTCCAAGCTCGCCACCTGGAGAACGCATTCGGCTGCCTCCCCACACCGAGAGATCTCAGCCCCACCACGACCCTTCCTCGACCCGAGCGACCCTTCCTCGACCGGCGCGGTGGAACCTGTTCCTACCAGCTTGAGAGCTCCTGGGACCCACGGCCTAGAGCCACGCCCAGAACAAGAGGGACCCCCAATATGCACTCTTCGGTATCAAGAGAGGGGCTCCACTGTCCCCACCTGCCCCCGACTGTGAACTGTGCGGCTTCCCCAGGGGCCCCACACAGCTGCTGGGGCCAAGGCAGACAGGTAGCCGCGCGCCCCTCCAGCTCTTCCCCAGGCGCCCGGGGTCCCCGAGCCACCACTCTCGCTCGTCCCTGAAAACTTCGCCTCCCTCGATCCCCGCGCGTCCACGGCCTCGCGCACCCACGTCTCAGGGATCTCGCGCGCCCCCTCAAATCTCGCGCCCTCGGGCTTCGCGCGCCCGCGCCAATCTTGCGACCCCTGCAGCCGCCCCGGTCTCGCGCGTCCCCTCCCGTCTAGCGCCCCTCGGGCCGCCCGCCACCCCTCAACTCCTGCGACCCTGCGGGGTCTCGCGCGCCCCCAGCCAATCTCGCGCCCCTCGGGGGTCGCGCGCCCCCGCCAATCTCGCGACCCCTCGAGCGCGCTCGGGTTCCGCGAGCTCCGTCGCCCGCGCCCACGTGCCCCGCGCGCTGCCCGCCCGCGCCGGAGCCCACGGAAGAGCGCGGACGCCGAGCCCCGCCCCTGGCCCCGCACTCACTTCTCGCGGGCCTGGCTGTCGGAGGGCACGGCCGAACCCTTGCCCCCCTTGGCGTACATGCTGCTCCGCGCCGCCGCCGCCGCGGGGGCCCACACCTGTCAGGCGGCGCCGCGGGCCGCGCTCGCCGTCGCCATAGCTACCCCGCGCCCCGGGCCTCACCGCCCCGAGCCCCGGGCGGGCACCGCGGACATCGTCCGCGCGGGGGAGCTCCAGACGGCCGTGGAGGCGGCGGCAGCTGCGGCTCCAGCGGCTCCAGCTCCGGCCCCGGCCGCAGGGTGCCTTTTTTTCCTCCCTTCCCTCCGCGCGGGCTGTTCCGGGAAGCGCGCGCTCCCCTCCTCCCGCCGCGCGCGGCCCCGCTCGCTGCCTCCCCGCCGCCCGCGGGCGCCACTCTTAAAGGGGCGATGGCGGGCGCGCGGGTGGGTCCCGCCCCCGGGACCACGGGCCGGGCGCGCACGCGCAGTGCCCGCCGCGGGAGTTGGGGGCGCGGCTACACACTCGCGGGCCTGGATCGGGGACGGCCACCCGGGGACGCGCAGCCGATCGGGGCTGCGCGCGCGCGCGCACACAGGTTCACTCACCCCAAATGGGGACAGCCACCCCAGCTGTTGTACACACCCAGCCACACATATTCGCAGCCACACTCAACGTAGCGCTCTACACGACAGAAGTGTAGCCCGCTGCTGGAACTACTGCGGGTTGCCCCCTAAAGCCTCAGACAGTGACACTGGGTGTTGCACCCCGCAGAGCCACCCACGCAGAGCTCGGGTGGGAACTACCGCGCACACAGCCCGCCAGCGACACACATACCCAGCTCACAGTGGCCGTCCTGGAACAACTAAACGCAGGCCACCGCACACAGACCCACAGCCGTACGCAGACACACTCTTATACAAGGCCGTGCCACAGCTTCCAACGGCCGTGGACAGAGCCCACGCAGTTAACTCGCAGTCACCCTGGGGCGCACAGTCGTGGCCTCCTGAGAACCACACCCTACCCAGATCCGCAGTCACATGGCCTGTGGACACTTAGCCAGCCGTTCGCAAACACACAACACAGACACAACACAGGCACAGACACAAAGCTCCTATAGTACCCAGGCTGTGGGAGCCACCCTGCACCACCTCCACGTGACACCCGGTGACAATCCTAGGTGCAGGGTGACTGCTGGCTGGGCTTCTCAGCCTTGGTGCCGTGAGCTGTAAATGGTGCTCATGCCACTTTTGTCTGCGGGGGTCAGGGTACAGGCAGTAGGTGCCCTCTCCCCCTCTAGGGCCCTTCACCCCCCCACCAAGGGTGTTTAGAGAGGGTGGGGCAGATACTGAGGCAGGAATCCCCGCAGGGCAGGGGTGCCCGGATACCAGTGGGTGGTGTGCGCCTGGGCAGGGTAGGGGAAGGCGGTGCGGTTGTGTCTCTAGGTCTAGATGTTTGTTTGTCTCGGCTATTCCTTTCTTTCCTGTGCACACCCGCGGGTGTGTGCAAACACGCGGCTCCTGTGTGAGTGCACGTGTGCGTCCTTGCACGTGTGCGTCCTTGCGCGTGGGGGGCTAGCAAACACCCAATGATCGCTGTCCCAGTGACTGTCGCTGGCTGCGCGGTGGCAATTGTGGTTCCACCGTGGTGGTGCGGGCCTAGCCGCCCAGTCAGGTTGTGTGCACAAGTGTGTGCGAATATGCACGTGTGTGCCTCCGCGCGTGGGTGGGCCGCCAGCTCCCTGGGATCTGTGTGTGGCCGTGCGCTGTTTTGTGTGTGTGTCTGTGCGTGTGTGCGTGTGTGAATGTCTGGACGTGTCTCGCTGCCAGTTGACCCCCCAGATGCCTCCCCCATAGAGGCCGACCCCCCCAGTACGAGAGAACCCTCCCCGCCCCCACCCCAAGCTTTCTAGCCGGTGGGAAGTCGGGAGCCACCGGGGCTCCAGACCCGCCGAGAGGAAGGGAAGGGCAGAGCCAGCCCCAGCCCCGCCTCCTCCCCGAGGGGCCCCCGGCACGGGAGGGGGGACGCCAGCCCTTCCCACTTCCTGTCCAGCCAGCCGCCCCCTCCCCCAGCTTCCTCTCTCACGAGCCTCCGGGCCCGGCAGGAGGGAGGAGGGGCCCACACGATTCCACAGGGCCTAGGGCTGGCGACTGCCCGGAGCCTGGAGGGCCACGGGGGGCGTGGGCTTCGGCGTCCAGGGCATTGTCATCATAATGACCGCCCCCACCACTGCCCCCCAGCGCCTACTTCTAACGAGGCACAGAGAGGGTGTGGCCCACCCAAAGCCACACAGAGCCTTGGTGACAACCGGGGCTCCCGGGCCCGGCAGATGCCCCTCTTGCCACCCTCAATTTAATCTCCCGGAGCTCTGTGGCTCCCCAGGACCCTGTGTGCCCTGGTTGGCTCCCTCGCCCACTGTGAGCCACGGTTCCTTGGGTCAATGTGAGTCTTCATACCATTAAACATGTATTGAGCGCCTACTGTGTGCTGGGCTCCGGAGACCCAGCCGGGACACGTCGCTACCTCTTTTGGAGCTCAGTATCTGCCGGGGGAGGCGGACAGTCCAAAGCTGGCGAGTCAGTCGGGCAATTTCAGGGAGTGCCACGTGCATAAGAGGGAGGGGACCCCTGGTGACAGGACGGGTGCTGGCGGGGTCGGCCGGGCTCCCCGGGGGAGGGCGGAGGCGGAGGGAGGGAAGGAGGGGAGGAGGGAGGGAGGCGGAGGCGCCGGCGGCCCCGAGAGCTGCGAAGGGGGAGGCGCGGAGGGCGGGAGCGAGGAGCGCGGTTCTCATGGCAACCGGGAAGGATCTCCAAACACGGCCGGGGGCGCCGGCGGGAAAGTGCGAGGGGAGCGGGCCCGGGTCCCACGCGGCGTCGGGGAGGCTGAGCCGCGCGCACTCCCAACCAGGGCGCACGCCTTGCGGGGGCAGAACCCGCAGAAAGGGCCCCCCACCCACGCGAGGGACAGGCAGGGCGGGGAGGAATAATTATTAATAACGGGGAGAGGAGGGGTGGATTGGAAAGATCTGGAAGTGGAACGTTCAGGCTGTAGTCACAGCAAGTGCTAAGGCCCTGAGGTGGGTACATGGCGCAGGTGCTGGACGCAGAGACAGGACGCAGCGGTCGCCGGAGCAGCAGGAAGAAGAGGGGGATGATGGCAGGGAGTGCGGAGTGCTGGACCACGCCCAGTGGGGGAGGGGGTGGGTTTTTTTTTTTTTTTTTTTTTCTAAGAGCAATAGGGAGCCATGGAAGGGTGTGGAGTGTATAGGAGAGGTTGGGCTCTGCCTCGAGAGTTTAAGAAGCTCCATGGGAGGCCGCACGTGGTGGCAGCCTGTGCTTGCAGTCCCAACGCTTCGGAGGCCGAGCCAGGAGGATCCCTTGAGCCCAGCAGGTGAAGGCTGCAGTGAGCTGTGATCGTGCCACTGCACTCCAGCCTGGGCAACACAGCAAGACCCTTTCTAAAAACTAAAAAACCTGAGAAGCTCCGTGGGGTTGCCAGCGAAATCAAGGTGACACAGAGAAGTCAGGGAGGTTGCCTCGGGAAGGGGCCCAGGTAGACCAGGGTCCAGGGCCAGGGACAGGGCTGCCCTGGCCGAGCTGGGTCAGTGTTTGTTGGGGTGGGCATTAGTGAAGTCACCCACCATGGATGTCCCCTAAATACAGGTCGGGGTCTGTGCCTGGGGGAGTCCGAAGGAGACTCTGCTTATAGGGCAGGGGACTGCCAGGAGAAGGCGGCCGTAATCTCTACCCTGTACCCTCCCGGCACAGCCCCACCCGCCAGCCTTAACCCTTGCGGTTCCTGCCGCCTGAAACTGTTTCTCTGGCTTCTGGCCTCGCCAACAGAGGCTCCTCCTTCGACCAAGGGTTCTCTTTGGTCCTCCTGGTGGAGGAAGCCAACTCCTCCTCTCCCTCCTCCTCTTCCTCTCCCTCCTCCTCTTCCTCTTCCCCCTCCTCTCCCTCCCTCCCCCCCTCTCCCTCCTTTTCCCCCTCATCACCCTCCTCCTCCTCTTCATCTCTCTCATCCTCCTCCTCCTCCAAGCCTTCCTTGGGCACTGCCTCCGCATGACTCTTTCTGCACAGTCCCTACTTGGACTTGGCAGTGTTTGGATGAAATAACGCATCCCGTCCTCAGCTGGCCGCCTCCGCCTTCCTCTGGGTCCCGTCTCCTTGAGGACACAGCGGTGCGGGGCCCACGATACCGCAGAGGAGGCCGGATTAGGTTTTCCTGCTGGTGGTTTTTCCTCTCCATAGGAGGCGGAAGCGGCCTCCCTCCCTCCTCGTTAAAGTGGGGGGCGGTCTGGGAGGGGCCAGGACCGGGGCTGGCGGTCCCTGTAAGCCCCTCCCCAGCCGTGCGTGGGAGGCGGCCACAGCTGGGAGCGGGTCTGCGCTGGGAGACCGTTTCCTCTCAGAAGCTGTAATTATGGGTAATTTTCTAAATGCAACACAAAAATTAAAACCCAAACAACAGCAGGGTGGGAGCAGCCACAGCAGCTGGTGAACGCGCGGGGAGGCCGGGGGTGGTGGGGTGGGAGGAGCTGGGCCTTCAAGCCAGGCAGGCTGGGGGTGACCAGCATGGACGAGGGGTGCTCAGGCAGCCTCACTCCTGCACAGCCAGGTAGGGTTTCTGAACCGGGGATCAGACCACAAGAACAATGGCCTGGAGGCGGAAATTCCCAGATAGAGGCTCTAGGCCTGGATTTGAACTTGGCCGTGCCCTGGCTCACTGTGTAACCTTGACCGGGAGACAGCTGAACTTCAGTGACCCCTCCAGCCATTGGGTCATGCCATCAATCCCACAGGGCTGTGAGGGACCCGAGGTGACAGAGCGGATACAGGAGGGCCTGGCTGAGGAGCCTCTGCCAAACCTGCGCCCTCTCACCCCCGTGTCTGTCCTCCACAAGGCTTACCCAAAGCCGGGTACACTGCTACGCTTCTAGGACCTTCTGTAGCTCCCACTCGCCACACGTCAAAGCCCCACCTCTCTGCCCTGCACTTGAACTCCAGATTCCAACTAGCCCTTGGGAACTGGCATCATCCGGTAACGTGTTCCTGCCAGACCAAAGGAGGCCCCATTTCTAATTTTTCTTTTTAGAGATGGGAGTCTCACTCCGTTGCCCAGGCAGGAGCACAGTGGCGCAATCATAGCTCATGGCAGCCTCAACCTCTGGGCTTCATCGATCCTCCCACCTCGGCCTCCCAAGTAGCTGG